GATCAGTGGCCTGAGTAAATTGAAATTGCTTCTCTGTGTTTGCAAAAGCATGCCCCATTAAATTGGCATGGATTTACATGAGTGGAAATAACTCTGTAAAGCCCATCTTTGATTGATAATGGAGGTTACTACAGTAGGTGTTCAAACACAACAGTAAAACTTCTATTGGGATGTTGCACAAAATAGGGCCCCAACCGGAGTGTCATGCTAGAATAGAGCCCGAAGCCCCAATGTCTTTTAGCAGCAGCTACTCTCCCTGGGGTCCACACAAAACATAAAACATGACATAATACAGAACATGAATAGGCAAGACCAACTCAAGGACTGAACTACACACATTTAAAATAAGAACAATAGGACCAAAAAAGGTCCTACTGACAGTTACCCTCATTACTGACAGTTACCCACATTACTGACAGTTACCCACATTACTGACAGTTACCCTCATTACTGACAGTTACCCACACACATCAGTACATATCCATATGTCTAAGAGTTATTTAGGTCAGATAGTTGTGCTGTGAGGTGTTGTTTTATTTGTTTTTTTTAAGTTAATTTTGCTGTTTGCTTGAGTTATTTGAGATGGAAGGGAGTTCCATGTGATCATGGCTCTATCTAATATTGTGTGTTGCCTTGAATTCTTTTTGGATTTGGGGACTGCGCCCTTGTGGCATGTATGGCATGTATGGTGGGGTAAGTATGTCTGTCAGAGCTAGTATGTCTCTCCTCTACCCACATGTACATATTACCTCAATTACCTCGACTAACCTGTGCCCTCGCACATTGAATCTGTACCGGTACACCCTGTATATAGCCTCCCTACTGTTATTTTATTTTACTGCTGCTCTTTAATTATTTGTTATTTTCATTTTTTACTTAACTATTTTTTACTTAACACTTATTTTGCTTTAAACTGCATTGTTGGTTAAGGGCTTGTAAGTAAGCATTTCACTGTAAGGTCTACACCTGTTGTATTCGGCCGATGTGGCAAATAAAATGTGATTTGATTTGATTTGAACCAAGAGAGACTGACATGCATACTGTTGACATTAGCCCTCTGTGTACATTGAAGGGCAAGACGTGCTGCACTGTTCTGGGCCAGCTGCAGGTTTTCTAGGTCCTTCTTGACAGCACTTGACAATATCACCAGGCAATAGTCAGTATTTACATAGATAAAACTAGAGCCTGCAGGACTTGTTTGGTCAACTGTGGTGTTAACAATGCTGAGCATCTCTTTATCACAGACAGACCTATCCCCATCTTTACAACAATTGAATCAATATGCCTTGACCATGACAACTTACAGTCTTAAGGTGACATCAAGAAATGTAGTCCCCTCAACTTGCTCAACAGTCACATCATTCATTACCAGATTGAGAGGTCTAGAACGTATAACATAGGGAAGGATTTGTACCAAATACAATGCTTTTAGTTTTAGATATGTTCAGGACTAGTTTATTACTTGCCACCCATTCCAAAACAAACTGCAACTCTTTGTTTAGGGTTGCAGCGATTTCACTAGCTGTGGTTGATGACATGTGTTCTATTGGACCCATGATATGGCAGAGGATGGAAAGCCATAACACATCCATTTTTCCTATGACATATTATGGTCAATAATATCAAAGGCTGCACTGAAGTCTAAAAATACAGCTCCCACAATCTTCTTATTATCAATTTCTTTCAGCCAATCATCAGTTATTTGTGTCAGTGCAGTAGGCCGACATTTTGAGTGCCCTTCTCTATAAACATGCTGAAAGTCTGTTGTTAATTTGTCCAAAGAGAAATACACTATATATACAAAAGTATGTGGACACCCCTTCAAATGAGTGGATTTGGCTATTTCAGCCACACCTGTTGCTGACAGGTGTATAAAATCGAGCACACAGCCATGCAATCTTCAAAGACAAACATTGGCAGTAGAATGGCCTTACTGAAGAGCTCAGTGACTTTCAACGTGGCACCATCATATGATGCCACCTTTCCAACAAATCAGTTTGTAACTCAGCTGCCCCGGTCAACTGTAAGTGCTGTTCTTGTGAAGTGGAAATGTCTAGGAGCAACAACGGCTCAGCCGCAAAGTGGTAGGCCACACAAGCTCAAAGAACGGGACCGGCGAGTGCTGAAGCGCGTACCGCGTAAAAATCTTCTGTCCTCGGTTGCAACACTCACTCCAGAGTTCCAAACTGCCGCTGAAAGCAACGTCAGCACAATATCTGCTTGCCGGGAGCTTCATGAAATGGCTTTCCATGGCCGAGCAGCTGCACACAAGCCTAAGATTACCATGCGCAATGCCAAGCGTTGGCTGGAGTGGTGTAAAACTCGCTGCCATTGGACTCTGGATGTATTCTTGGAAAACCCTGCTAGCTTGATAGCTACCAGCTAGGCTAGTAGCTAGCTATGCCAAACAACTTCAGATTTTTTGGTCTGGACAGAAAGTAGCGGTCACAGCAACTGAGGCTAACCGCATTGCGGGATCCAAAAAAAGGATATAAACCAAACTTTGCCAGGAAACAAGCTCTCTCGTTCCGCGTTCAGCATGTCACCTTAGGGTCTCTCATGTAAACCCTCTCTTCTAAACCCTCCCATCTAGAGATAGCACAGTATTGTTGGTTTACCTTCCCAAAATGTTGGGATGTTATTCAGAAACTCTGGGCCTGGATATACTTGAGATAATGCAAACGTTATCTGTTCCTGATGAGTTTGTTCGCAGACTCACGCTCCCTCTGAGCCCTCTTTTGTGCTGGATGATCGTTCTAATGTGTCAGCACACAAGGCTTGCCAGGAAAAAGTTAAACGCCTAGGATTCTTGATAAATAGTCCTCATCGCTGTACCGTTGCAAGCAGCAATCATTTGGAAAGCTTGAATGCTCCACCATGACTATTTTACTATATATTTTACTAGCTGGTGATTATCAGCCTCCTCATGGCAGAGACTCTGCTGTTAGCCCTCTCTATGCTCTGGCGTATCAAGTGGAAAATTATACAATTATTGCAGTACAGTCGACATGATACACACATTTTCCCCATATCAGCAGTAACAGTAGGGCTTCCGTCTTCTTTGGTCTCTGTTGTCCTGTTTAGTTTTTCCTCAATAGTTATTTTTGGTGAGATACAGACATTTCGTCTGTCATGCTGAAGTCCGGAAGACGTCCTTCCATCGGAGGAAACCACAATGTCCTTCTTGGACAGCTTTTAAATTGGCATGTGTCCATCCTCTGTATATGAAGACATATGCTGCCTTTGTCTGTTTGCCCTGCCTGGGATTAGGTTACCAGAGATGGCTACACCGCCTGTCTACTGGAAATGCTATGGACAAAAAAGCAAGTGGCATGCAGTCCTGAATATATGTACATCTGTAATGCGATACTCCTGAGTTCCCAGTAGAGTGACTATTTGTCTTATTAGGCTGTCTTGTGACTGCAAACAAAGTCAGTGGACAGTGAGATTGAAGAAATGCCTGTGAGTAGTCCAGTTTCCTCTGGGTCTCTCTGAAGAGGATTATGTATGCTCATGGCAGAATCACAGGCTGTCTTTGTGCAAGTGCTGCAGGAGATGAAACTACAGGCTGCCTATTAATTATCTAAGGCCGATGGTATATGGGGACATCCCTGTTTAGACAGTATCTCATGATTAGTGTCCTTGTATGAAGGCTTCTGTTGGGGTCAGAGGGCATGTGAGGCAAGGCTGACATGCTGGTGAGAATGAAATGCCCTCTCCATCATCATGTCTTACAGCACACTGGTCACTGGGAGCTGCTATGGGCTTTACACTACAGTACTGAACATGTGCATTCTAATCCAAACCCCATCTGAAATGCTCTTTTGTGGCGTGGTAGATAGCATCAGCAATTAGCAGCATTTTGTTGCATGAACTACAACAAAATAAATGAACACTGAGATTTATAATGAGATGTTAACTACACACACTCCCCCAGATTCCGAGAAAATGGTGGGTGGGGCCGAGGGAGGGAGGATGGGAGGGTTTTCCAGTCAGTGGATTTTCCATGGAGAGCGCGTGCCGCTGGAGCGGCCTCTGTCTTTATGGCTGGGGCTCTGGGGAGCCACTGTGCTGCTGACTGAGGGCTGTGTGTGCAGCCAAGGCTGGGGTCCGGGGCCAATAAATCCTGCCCTCCCAGCCCCAGACAGTGCGTTCATCTTCCGCATTATCTTCACTTTGACCCACAGCACCCTGCACTAATGTTAATGGCTGTATGAGGGCGCATGGATAGCATGCCCCTCCATGACCCTTTAGCCTTACTAAAAAGAAAGTAGCAAGTTTTGGCCTTTGGTTTTGTTCGAATAAAGGCAGCCAACAACCCTACCCATTCAACAGTCCTTTATGGCTCAACTACTGCTGAAAGGATCTGGCTTATTTCTACACAGTGATTACCACATATTATGTGATCAAAATAAATGCTATAATTCTCTATATCTGTCCACCATAACCATAACTTTTGTCCTTGCACTTTCAAACCGTTTACTAGTGTGTATTAAGTTGTCATCCACAAGAAATATGCGTAAACATAGACTGCAATTACACAAATAGAAGGCTTAAAAAACTAAATGACAATTGTGTATTGCATACTTGTGGTTCTGGTGATTTTCTCTGGTTTTATGTGCCTTACAAAATGGGCTTGCTCCACAAATTGTCTTGCTAGGAGGATGCGGCCAGGGGAATGATTGCTAGCCAGCCAGACAGACACTGCGCTCACACCCTGACAGTGTGGGAAGCACGGATTAATCATGGAAATAATACTGAGTCAGTGCTGGAAAATCCCCTCAAATGAAGTGTGTTTTGACTTGTCTACATACAGTGCATGTCTAGTCACGATGAGACCAACTATCAACATATCACTATCACTATGGCGTTACATAGTTCAGTGAAGTAGGCATCTGTTTGATGAGATTTTATGCCTCAGATATATGATTCTGAACTAATTATATGATTCAGAGCTAATCGTAGTGACTGAATGTTGTGAAGCTACATTTTTATTTGTTATGCACTTTCCTTTCCCTCTGTGTCTGTATATCACTCTCTTTCTATCTATGACTCTCTCTGCAGCTCCATCGACAGTGTCCATTATGCACCAGGTCAGTCGTACCGTGGACAGCATCACTCTGTCCTGGTCTCAACCAGACCAGCCCAATGGAGTCATTCTGGACTATGAACTGCAGTACTATGAGAAGGTAGGTACCCACTGCACACTACCCATTAACAAACAGTCTGCGCTATCTCACCTCCATGTACACAGACACACATAAAGATATCATTGAGTCTGCCAGTCCTTCACCTCAGAAGGGCCAAATAAGGGTATGCATTGACTGCAAAACAAATCTCTCATTTTCTATCAAATTGAAATTCAGAATGTCTTTGCCTATTGGTGTACAGTGTGTTCTCTGAGGCAGGCAGACATAGCTTCTGAATCACGCGTACAACTTCTGCTTGATCCCTTTCAATTATAATCACGGTCAGTCAATGGGAAAGGGAAACGCTCTCAGCCCGCCAGAGAGATTTGCGGTTGAAACAATGGAGCGTTGACTGCCATAAAAATAGTATTCAACAGACAGACTCCTCAAAATCAGCATACTTTCTCACAATAAACACTACCACACACAAACACTTGCTCACACACACAGATACGAGCAGACCAGACCAGAACACACACACACACAACGTTCATTGAGGACTCCTCTGTGATTGCGCGCCATGCTGCTCCACTTTTTAGTCTAATTATTTTCTTAGACACTGCTGAGGAGAGCTGTCAAAACAATTGTTCCGGCCCCTGCCGTGACTTAGAACTCACAACTGTAATCATGCTGCTGAGTGATTGGTTTAAGGCAGCAGCCGGCACAGTTTTAGTCTCCTCTTCCAGACAGACCTGTCAGCTTTGTGGGGAGAGAGAAGCGGTGTGGCAATGAAGGTTGCACTGATCGTCAGAACTCACAGCTCAAACAAACTAATTCTAGCTGACCTGAAACTGCCTCCCTTCTGCCTCCGGCTGTTGCTTTTCATTCTCTGTTCATTCTGATTGATCAAATAGATACATCAGTGTTAGAAACATTTGAGTCTGTATCTTAGTTACTTTGCTCATCAGCCTATTCTTCTAAGGCACTAAATTAATGCATGCGTATGGTAATTGTTCTGTGGGAGGCACTGATTTATATTTCTCCCTCTGTCTTTCCTACTCTCTCAGGACCAGACCGAGTACAACTCAACCATCATAAAGAGCCAGACCAACACAGTGGTCATCCGCGGTCTCAAACCAGGCGCGATCTATGTGTTCCTGGTTCGTGCCCGGACTGTGGCCGGATTTGGCCGCTACAGCGGCAAGCTCTACTTCCAAACCATGACTGAAGGTGAGGGTGCAGCCAACATTCCTTCAAGTCAGATAGAGCATAGAGAGATGTAGAGTTATCACATCCCATGCATGGCCCATCAACCCAACCTGGACCATGACAACATAGACCCAATGAATGTGGGTTAATGTAAAACATACATCAGGTTAAAGTGTCTAATCTGTATAGAAGGACACTGCTTGGCAGATTAGCTTCTCCCCTGGCTGCTAAGCAGCCCATCTAATGTTAGCACAGCAACCTGGGTGTTCTCTAAACATCTCATTACCTGAGTGCCGAGGGCCATCATTAGCCTGATCACTCCTCTGCTCTCTTCTCCTCCACGGAAAGCAGCCAGCATGCCGCCAGACAAAAGAGAACCCAGCATCACAGTATAATGCATACAGTACCACCCTGGGACACAACCCATGACACAGCCCTCCCCAGTCTCCGGCCCAGACAGAGCAGTCAGGACCTGAGGTGGAGATTATGTGCCTACTGCCATGCTGGATTCCCTGTGTTTGGCAGCACTCTGGAGGGAAGGGAGCTGGGTCTCTCCCAAACACACTCTCTCAGTTATAGACGAGCGGGCGGCCATATCGCTGGCATCTGAGCCCACTCAGTGGGCTTTGGAGAGAGGTCTTGTGCTGCCAGCCAAGATGACCATTGGTCTCCCCAACCGTCTGTCTGTCTGTCACCAACTGCTTGCTCCATATGCATTCGCTCATATACCGGCCCATATGTTTCAGTGTGTGATGGTGTGTTTGTGTGTGTTTGTCTAATCACAGAGGAGTACAACACCAGCATTCAGGAGAAGCTGCCTCTCATTATCGGCTCTGCAGCTGCAGGTCTGGTCTTCCTCATCGCAGTGGTTGTCATCGTCATCGTCTGCAACCGGTGAGTCATTCATGCTCCAGCAGCCAACCAATGCTGCCTGCGACCTATCACAAACAGTCAAACAAGCCAGCCAGATTAGACACATTCGCTTTAGTGGTTGTTTTCCCCACTACTTCATTAGTGTACTTTAATGGGTGCTGTAGCTTGTTAAGGTGGGGTTTATAGTTTATAGGCTGGTTGTGTTTAGTGGTCATTAGCTAGCTGTGGAGCGGGAAGGCCTGCTACATAGACCACAGCCCCTCTCTGGACCAGCGCTATAGCTCTTTGTCTTTCTCCCAGGAGGCGTGGCTTTGAGAGGGCAGACTCAGAGTACACAGACAAGCTGCAGCACTACACCAGCGGCCACAGTGAGTAACCCAGCCCTCGCTCTCACTCTGTGACTGTTTGCACCTCCCCCACACTCTCGCTAACACACACACACACACCTGTCTCCATGGCTACTGGCTCACACAGCTGTCTCCATGGCTAACGTTCAACCCTCTGCTGCCTCACACACCTGTCTCCATGGCTACCACCTGACACTAGTGTCCTTGGCTACCTCCCAACCTTGTGCTTCTTCTCACCTCTCCATTTGTAGTCTTGTCTCTTGTTTTCTTCAACCATCTTAATGCTAGGATTTATCCCAACATAACTTGTGTACAAGTGTGTGTTGGCTGTATGGTCTCATTTCATAGTCAACTAATTCCATTGTTGTGGAAATAGCATTTAGCCTTCTCTTAGCTAGTTAAGTCCATTAACATGCTAATACCACACACACCATTTGCATTTGCTGAAAAATTATAAGGAGATTGTGAAGGAATGGCCTTTATTAATTATTTTGTTTTCCATGTTGTGAAGGTGGGGTTTATAGTTGGATCGTTCCATGATACAGAAATAAATCTTCAAGTTGGAGCTCAGGAGCCGTAATTTAAACTAGTTTGGCTCTCTCTGGGAGCTTTGGCTTATCGTTTTCCCCTCCGTCACTCAGCTAAACAGAAATGGTCTGAAATATTTCCTCCCTGAGCTTATTTCAGTTTTATTTATTTCTATATTTTTCTATTTAGCTCTTCCGCTTGCCGGGCTTATCAATGGAGACAGCTTTCCCATGTGTAATCAATAAAGATTGCAGTAAATGCTGTATTTACAGAACTTGTTTCTTCCCGGGTGAAATTCAGTGGGGAGTAATGCCAGAGAGACTGAGGGCATTTCACAGCTAATAATACAGTTCCACTCCCCTGTGTGTGTCTTCATCCCCACACTGATGGTCACAGTTTTCCTGGCTTTCCTCCCCTGTGTCAGGTGGTCTCTGCCATGCTCTGGTGGGTGGTCTTTGGATCGCTCCATAGTTTGGGAAGAGATAGGAGGGTTCTGACTGGGGACTTTCAGGGGGCTCGCCATCTGTTCCTGAACACTTCTTCAGTTTAGTCTGCTATGCAGGTTTCATGACTCTACTCCATGCATATTTCTCAGCTTCTCTGACTGTCTGTGCATGATCACAATATCCATTCAAAAAGCCTCAGGCGAGATGTGGAAGTAAGAGCCAGAATAATCGGATTTGAAACCTGGGACACTTAAGTCACTGAACACTTAAAGGCCACCTTAAGCCAATTTACCTGGCATCAGAGTTTAAGAGAGCCAATTTATTTTCTAGAGCAGAGAGCGATACTAGTATAGTGACCGGCTGCCTCTCCTGGGTGTTAATGGTCTGCTATGACTCTCTGGAGCTGATACATACATTAACCTGCCTTATTACTGCCAACAACTCACTGGGAATATCATGTCATTGCCCATTGATTATTATAGTCCTGAGGCCCCCAGCCAATCCTACCATTCCTACCTTGCACTAACACTAACCTCTCTGACTCAATCATATTAATATACTGCATTGGCTACTCACACTCTGAATTTTAAATACAGACACTGTTGCAGAGTTTGTGTGTGTGTATGTCAGACTACAAAATTATATCGGCCTCTTCTTTTTCCAAGTGACTCCAGGAATGAAGATATATATCGATCCGTTTACATATGAGGACCCCAACGAGGCTGTGAGGGAGTTTGCTAAGGAGATTGACATCTCCTGTGTGAAGATTGAGCAAGTCATTGGTGCAGGTAAAGAGAAAGGCCAGTAATTCTTTACAACTAAATATTTTGAATGTTGTCTGTATTCCAATGAATTAGGGACTACATTTTGGCTCATAATGTTCATGTTTGTAACCTCTGTCAGACATCTCCTATCATTAACTGTCCCTCTGCCTCTATGTTGTGTCTTGTAGGAGAGTTCGGGGAGGTGTGCAGTGGGAACCTGAGGCTCCCAGGCAAGAGGGAGATGTTTGTGGCCATCAAGACGCTGAAGTCGGGCTACACAGAGAAGCAGAGGCGGGACTTCCTGTCTGAGGCGTCCATCATGGGTCAGTTTGACCACCCCAATGTGATCCACCTGGAGGGTGTGGTCACCAAGAGCACCCCCGTCATGATCATCACTGAGTTTATGGAGAATGGATCACTGGACTCCTTCCTCAGAGTGAGTTACGCACTGTTTGTCTTTGTCCTACTGAGTCAAATATTAATACTAATGGCTATGCAGATAGACAGGTAGACAAAGACATGCAGACACACACACACACACATTGGGAAATGACTGCTAAATACACATCCTAATGCTAACCCATCTAGGTTCAAGTGAACATTAATATGCAGAACATTAATCATGTGGAACTCCTCTTTACTTAGCATAGTGTCCATCAATGAGCCTTAGAGCGAGTCCTTAGAGCGCGCATTTTCTACCCAATCAAGCTGCAGTATTAATGTTCTCTGAGTGTCTGTCTGGTCCAATTATTGATTTATGTTACGCTGCCACTAGCGCTGGCTGTTATACAGTATTTCCCCTTGATCTCCATGTTTGACTACAGTAAAATGGAGTCTAAGTAGAGTAGCTCACTAGCTGCTGGTGAGTGAGGTTAGCATTTCAGTGAAGTTAGTCATGCTCTCATTTTGTATTAGCCATACTAACCCACAGTAAGTCCTCCTGTTTGAGTCACAGAAAAGGAAAATGACCTATGAATTTATAGGGCTTTCTACTTATGCCACAAAATGACTCTGTTAACATGTTATTCAGCACCTTAACATTTAGTCAAACATATTGCATGAATTGCAGAACTCATAGAACTCATATCTCAGAAAATACATTCCAGATACCTAACCTCACCTTGGGAGGGTTTCAAATTATTAGCGAGAGTTAAGAAGAAAACATGTCAGCTCTCAGAGAATTAAGTTGGCTTGTAGATGAGAGGCTGCTGTCAGCTGTCAGCCAGTCCTGTGCCGTCTGTCTGTAGCATGTCAGCTAAATGGAAGCATGTTTTTCCTGATGTGACTGGGTGTCCAAAAGCTTTAATCTCTTATTGGACTCATCGTGGGTTAGAAGTAAGGGGGAAAAAACTAGTGATTTATGGAAATCTTCACAAATATATAGAATTTTTCCACCAATTAGTTTTACTTCACTTTAAATCAATTGTGAGTGAAAACACCATCATTATAAAATATGGAAAACATATATAATTAACAAGAGCCAACTATTTCTGCTGTTTGATATAAATCACTATGTTCATCTTTAGATATGTCTGATGTTGCTACTAGTCAGTCTATGTGGATAACGCCCCCCTCCACCACCTCTGTTATAGCCTTAGTTTCGTCACATTGTTAGCCTCTGTATGGATCATACTGAGTAAGGCTTTCACGACTCAGGGCAGGAGAGCACACTGACGAGTATCAGCTCTGAGCTATTCGAGAATATTATAAACTCGAGACTTAAAACTCTTCCTCTGTGGATCAAAATACACATCAAAATCCTCCTTTTAATCCTCCCTGTCTGCTGGTAGCCATCCTCCTGTCATCAGACTGCTGCTCTGTCTACTGCTGGAGGTGCAAAACATGAACTTTATTAGCATTCTGCTTCAGACCTCCGAGACACGGGATGCCAACTCACTTGAATTTGACAGGGTTGTGTGTCTGTGTCTCTGTCTCTGTGTGTTAAGCATATTTGACAGCACATTGTATTCGAAACAACACAGCACCACTGTGGCACCTCACTATATGACAACGTTTGCTGACAGCGTCAGTGCTTTAGAATGTGGCGCTCTGTGAAGGAGGGTCAGCCAGCAGGGGGTTAGTGAAGACGACCGCCTTAGATAGGAGCTGCCAGCTGAAGGATCAGCTCCCCTACAGCTCCTGGTGCAGCTTCCACTGCTGTGTTGCATCTCCAAGGTAGAGCTAAAGTGAGAAAATGAGACAAATTGATCAATCACAGCTAATAGATGGATGGAGACAACAACAAGCAGAGAAAGTAGCAAAAGTTGAGGGCCATGTAATGACCATAACAAATGGTAGAGGAGGGTGGGATAAGTTGAGCCAAAGGGGTAAGTTGAGCCACCCTTGTTTCTAGGAAACCGTACACAAAATGAATAATTTGACCAAATATTTAGGAAGAGGTCATCATTTCATGGAGTCTGTGAAGGAAGAAACCACACGGAAAAAGTGGAAAGCAAGTTAGGTCCAAAAAACTGATTTTCAAATGAATTTATTGTGCTAGAGGTTTCATAATGCTTCTATCTAAACCAAAGTAGACACTTTTAAGATTGTTGTATAAATCAGTTGGGGTCTATAAGATTCAATATGAGGTCCTAAACCTAGCATGAAAGTGCATCATTGTAGTTGTGTGGGCTAATATAGTCAAAATGTTTGCCTTGGGGAAAGTTGAGCAAATGGTTGAGCCAATGGCAAGTTGAGCAAATGTAAGTGCTTTCTTCCCAGGTGTAATGCAAGGCATTATCGCTGGGATAAGAGGTAACAACATGGCCCAGCCTTTGTTAAAAGTGTTTTAAAAAGTACAACGTGTTTGTTAGGTGATAAGCCTGTGTTAAAAGATGATTAAAAGACCGATTGTGATTGTGTTGAATTGTGTTTTGGAAATAAAGATAGATGGTTTTAAAAAGGTAGCGGTTAACTTACCCTGTTTCGCGAGGCATCTTTCCTCATACCTGGGGTAAGTTGTGCCAAAGGACCACTTTCTTTGGACAAGCTATGTTTTCCAAACTGTAATGTTTACATTAATTCAGATATTCGATGGATACACAACATCCTGAAATACATTTTTACATTTGAGTCATTTAGCAGACGCTCTTATCCAGAGCGACTTACAGTTAGTGAGTGCATACATTTTCATACTGGCCCCCCGTGGGAATCGAACCCACAACCCAGACGTTGCAAACGCCATGCTCTACCAACTGAGCTACACGGGACTACAGTGCATTCTAAAAGTATTCAGACCCCTTGACCTTTTCCACATTTTGTTACGTTACAGACTTATTCTACAATGGATTAAATAAATAAAAATCCTCATCAATATACACACAATACCCCATAATGACAAATTGAAAACACATTTTTAGAAATGTTTGCATTCGTATTACAAATAAAAAACAGAAATACCTTATTTACATAAGTATTCAGACCCTTTGCTATGAGACTCCAAATTGAGCTCAGGTGCATCCTGTTTCCATTGATCATCCTTGAGATGTTTCTACAACTTGATTGGAGTCCACCTGTTGTAAATTCAATTGCTTGAACATGATATGGAAAGGCACACACCTGTCTATATAAGTTCCCACAATTGACAGTGTATGTCAGAGCAAAAACCGAGCCATGAGGTCGAAGGAATTGTCCATAGAGCTCCGAGACAGGATTGTGTCGAGGCACAGATCTGGGGAAGGGTACCAAAACATTTCTGCAGCATTGAAGGTCCCCAAGAACACAGTGGCCTCCATCATTCTTAAATGGAAGAAGTTTGGAACCACCAAGACTCTTCCTAGAGCTGGCTGAGCAATCAGGGGAGAAGGGCCTTGGTCAGGGAGGTGGTTGAAAAATAAGTTTTAATGACTCCAACCTAAGTGTATGTAAACTTCCGACTTCAACTGTCTGTATGTATGTATGTATGTATGTATGTATGTATGTATGTATGTATGTATGTATGTATGTATGTATGTATGTATGTATGTATGTATATATATATATATATATACAGTTGAAGTCGGAAGTTTACATACACTTAGGTTGGAGTCATTAAAACTTGTTTTTCAACCACTCCACAAATGTCTTGTTAAAAAACTATAGTTTTGGCAAGTCGGTTAGGACATCTACTTTGTGCATGACACAAGTAATTTTTCCAACAATTGTTTACAGACAGATTATTTCACTTATAATTCACTGTATCACAATTCCAGTGGGTCAGAAGTTTACATACACTAAGTTCACTGTGCCTTTAAACAGCTTGGAAAATTCCAGAAAACGATGTCATGGCTTTAGAAGCTTCTTATAGGCTAATTCACATAATTTGAGTCAATTGGAGGTGTACCTATGGATGTATTTCAAGGCCTACCTTCAAACTCAGTGCCTCTTTGCTTGACATCATTGGAAAATCAAAAGAAATCAGCCAAGACCTCAGAAAAAAAATGGTAGACCTCCACATGTCTGGTTCATCCTTGGGAGCAATTTCCAAACGCCTGACGGTACCACGTTCATCTGTACAAACAATAGTATGCAAGTATAAACACCATGGGACCACGCAGCCGTCATACCGCTCAGGAAGGAGACGCGTTCTGTCTCCTAGAGATTAACGTACTTTGGTGCAAAAAGTGCAAATCAATCCCAGAACAACAGCAAAGGACCTTGTGAAGATGCTGGAGGAAACAGGTACAAAAGTATCTATATCCACAGTAAAACGAGTCCTATATCGACATAACCTGAAAGGCCACTCAGCAAGGAAGAAGCCACTGCTCCAAAACCGCCATAAAAAAGCCAGACTACGGTTTGCAACTGCACATGGGGACAAAGATTCTTACTTTTTGGAGAAATGTCCTCTGGTCTGATGAAACAAAAATAGAACTGTTTGGCCATAATGACCATCGTTATGTTTGGAGGAAAAAGGGGGAAGGGTTGCAAGCCGAAGAACACCATCCCAACCGTGAAGCACGGGGGTGGCAGCATCATGCTGTGGGGGTGCTTTGCTGCAGGAGGGACTGGTGCACTTCACAAAATAGATGGCATCATGAGGAAGGAAAATTATGTGGATATATTGAAGCAACATCTCAAGACATCAGTCAGGAAGTTAAAGCTTGGTCGCAAATGGGTTTTCCAAATGGACAATGACGTCCAAAGTTGCGTCAAAATGGCTTAAGGACAACAAAGTCAAGGTATTGGATTGGCCATCACAAAGCTCTGACCTCAATCCTATAGAAAATGTGTGGGCAGAACTGAAAAAGTGTGTGCGAGCAAGGAGGCCTACAAACCTGACTCAGTTACACCTGCTCTGTCAGGAGGAAAAGGCCAACATTCACCCAACTTATTGTGGGAAGCTTGTGGAAGGCTACCCAAAACGTTTGACCCAAGTTAAACATTTTAAAGGCAATGCTACCAAATACTAATTGAGTGTATGTAAACTTCTGACCCACTGGGAATGTGATGAAAGAAATAAATGCTGAAATAAATCATTCTCTTTATTCAGACCTTTCACATTCTTAAAATAAAGTGGTGATCCTAACTGACCTAAGACAGGGAATTTTTACTAGGATTAAATATCAGGAATTGTGAAAAACTGAGTTTAAATGTATTTGGCTAAGGTGTATGTAAACTTCCGACTTCAACTGTATATATATATATATATATATATATATATATATATATATATATATATATATTTGCGAGAAAAAACAAACATATGGGGGATTGGAAGTGATGCAGGCAATTACATTGATGGAAGTTACAATCTATCTGCAATATTAAAGCTGATCTACCCCCTAAAAAATATAATAATGATATATATATATATATATATATATATATATATATATACAAAAAAAAAGACTACAAAAAAAGATTCTCTGGTCTGATGAAAGCAAGATTGAACTCTTTGGCCTGAATGCCAAGCGTCACGTGTGGAGGAAACCTGGCACCATCCCTATGGGGATGTTTTTCAGCGGCAGGGACTGGGAGACTAGTCAGGATCGAGGGAAAGGTGAATGGAGCAAAGTACAGAGAGATCTTTGATGAAAACCTGCTCAAGAGCGCTCAAGACCTCAGACTGGGGCGAAGGTTCACCTTCCAACAGGACAACTACCCTAAGCACACAGCCAAGACAACACAGGAGTGGCTTTGGGACAAGTCTCTGAATGTCCTTGAGTGGCCCAGCCAGAGCCCGTACTTGAACCAATCGAACATCTCTGGAGAGACCTGAAAATAGCTGTGCAGCGACACTCCCCATCCAACCTGACAGAGCTTGAGAGGATCTGCAGAGAATAATTGGAGAAACTCCCCAAATACAGGTGTGCCAAGCTTGTAGCGTCATACCCAAGAAGACTTGAGGCTGTAATTGCTGCCAAAGGTGCTTCAACAGTACAGAGTAAAGGGTCTGAATACTTATGTCAATGTGATATTTCAGTTTTATATTTTTTATACATTTGCTAACATTTAAAAAAAACAGTTTTTGCTTAGTAATTATGGGATATTGTGTGTAGATTGATGAGGGAAAAAAAACGATTTAATCCATTTTAGAATAAGGCTCCAACGTAACACAATGTGGAAAAAGTAAAGTGGTCTGAATACTTTCCGAATGTGCTGTATATGTAGATATTTTTGTTAGAAAAAAGACTACATTTCCCTTGACAGAGTGATGCAGAATGTAAAAAATTGCCCAATTTACCCCACTCTCCCCATCCATATAAAAGCTTTCTTCAATTATGACTAGAATTGGGATAGAATCATAAAATTGCGCAGAGCATGTATTACCCTAAGAACTCAAATATATAAATTATACCTCTATCTGCTAATCAGATCCAAATGACTTGGGTTGAAGAATCTTCCCATTTAAAGTACAGTATATGCAAACACAGTGCAGGGATGCAGAGATCAGGAGGAGCTGTGTAGTTGGGAGACATTTCAGCCTCATGAATAATGCATAACACTTAATTGCTGTGGTACATGAGGAGCTGGTGGAGAAGTTCCTGCACTGCTAATGAGCAGAAAAGTGTTTGGAAGAGACACAGAGACACAGGCTAGAGGATCTGGCTAACCATAAGCCGGGAACATGCCCAGAGGAATACACAGCCAGGCCTAGTCCGTCTGTGGTCCATCTGTGTCCCCACCCCACCCCATCCCTGGGCCATGATACTGGGCCTGTCTGTCCATGCTCATGCTCTCTCATCTCTCGTCATGATCCTCCTGGATATTCCATAGTTGATCTCTGGTCCTCGTGGTGGGTGGTGAAGGTGCAGGTGTGCGCAGTTGGAGGCACAGCTGCATGCCAGATCCAGACACTCCCCATGTATGTGGTAATGCCTTGGCCAATCCAGGAAGGAGAACAGCTGCAGCCAACCAGACCCAGTTTAGCCCAGCCTATCCTACCATAGCCCACAGAGGCCCCTGGGGATGTATCATATTGTGATCTAATGTGATCTTTTTTTTGCAGCAAAACGACGGTCAGTTCACAGTGATCCAGCTGGTGGGTATGCTGCGTGGCATCGCCTCTGGCATGAAGTACCTGGCCGACATGAACTACGTCCACCGCGACCTGGCCGCACGCAACATCCTGGTCAACAGCAACTTGGTCTGCAAGGTGTCCGACTTTGGCCTGTCCCGTTTCCTGGAGGACGACACGTCAGACCCCACCTACACCAGCGCCCTGGTGCGTACCATGACCTTACCGCAAACACCACACACATACACGTGTGCATGCATCCACACCTGCACGCTCACACACATCTGCACGCACACACACACACTCACCTCACACACCACACTCCCCATCATAACAGAGCCCCCTCACCTGTCCCTTTCCTCCGGTTTATGGGTTTCCATATCACACACATCCACTCTCAGGAGTTTAGTTATATCCATCTCAGAGTTGGGATTACAGAGTATTGTTGCTGTGAATAATCTCTCTCTGCAGAGCCAGGACACTGTGACGATCAGGTTTCCATCTCACTTCCCTCTATAAGATTGCTCCTTCATTGTGTTGTGTTTCTCAGGGAGGGAAGATCCCTATCCGATGGACAGCCCCTGAAGCCATCCAGTACAGGAAGTTCACATCCGCCAGTGATGTCTGGAGCTATGGCATTGTCATGTGGGAAGTCATGTCCTATGGAGAGAGACCTTACTGGGACATGACCAATCAAGACGTATGTATTTATAGTCCTTTATATATTATTTGTATCATTCATCAAGCAGAACCACTCTAAGCCTGGCATCAAATGTTCACATTTTATTCAAACAGACAATTGTTCCTGAATGTTATTACCTCCCCGTAGAGATTCATTTTGTCATGGTGGTTCTCTTCCCCTGGCTTAACAGCAACTTTCTAACCTGGGTTTAATATGAAAGCCCCCCAGTTACCACAGAGAGATAATAAGATGATTTGGAATGCAAGGCAGTGCTCCACAGACTATTCCTGCTCTTGACTGGAGCCTCTGTTTCCAGGCTCCCTCTGGGTGGTGGAGAAGAGAGCAAATTATGGTGAGAGAGATAATGAAAATAGTTTCAAATTGAAAGTGTGAACACTAATGCCCTAAGAGGGACTGAGGAGCTCGACGGTTATCTTATTAGCGGCTTCAGATAGTGTTTCTACTCCATCAGCATCTTGGTTGGGAGGGAGGCCTCTGAATGAGCTTAATCTGGGCCTGAATGGAGCTCCATAATGGTGGTGATAATGAGCAGAGGATCGTGGGTCCTCATCAGAATCCTCCTCTGGGCCGGTCGTTCCCCACTCCTAGCCAGGCATCAACTCCCTGATCCCTCGCCCACCACCAACATCACCACTGGCCACTCTTAGTCTCAGACTAGAACATTTTGGCGTGACAATGACCATAGAGTTGGCAAAACAGAACAAATGGATCTGGGACCAGGCTCTCACTTAGATATGTGTATGGCAGGAACATTACTGTACATAGTTTCTAAAGGCTCTTGATGCCAGACTGACTGAGGAGGAGTCACTGCTGGCACAGACTGCATGGATGTGAGGAGCCATTGGTATTAGACTGCTACTTTACTGTGACACTTAACTGGTACAGTAAGTATGCAGCCAAGACAAAACAATGTCTAAATGGTAATGGTGGTCATTTCCTACTTAGTGTTAATGCAATAATGTGTGCAGGATTATGTATGTGTGTGGGCATGTGTGCTGCAGTTTTGACTTGTATAACACTGAGATTTGTGAGAGGATGCTCTACAATGGGATTGTCGTCTCTCTCCTCCTCCTCCTCCTCCTCCTCCTCCTCCTCCTCCTCCTCCTCCTCCTCCTCGTAGAGCCTCATAGCAACCCTTAGAGATCTGTGTCTCCCCCTGCAGGTGATCAATGCCATAGAGCAGGACTACCGGCTGCCCCCTCCCATGGACTGCCCAAGTGCCCTGCACCAGCTCATGCTGGACTGCTGGCAGAAGGACCGTAACAACCGGCCCAAGTTCAGCCAGATCGTCAACAACCTGGACAAGATGATCCGCAACCCCAACAGTCTGAAGGCCATGACCCCTCTGTCATCAGGGTGAGTGGAACACTCTCCTTAGATCTTTGTCAGTTTATCTGTGGGGTTTTCTTTCTTTTAGTCTGTCTGTCTGTATATTAGTGTGTTTGAATGCAAGTGTCCCTCTGTCTCTCCTGGCCAGTCATGATAATATCCAGGATTTGGGCTCAAGTACTACTTTCATATTTCCACAGATAGGATGTCGTGCATCTGACTTCAAATATGGGAAAACAATTACACATTTCAAAGGATATGATTCCTTCAATGTTTAACATTTTGGGTTACACTTTTGACATTCATGGTACAATTTATTTCTACCAAACACTGTCTCCTGTTTCTTTTGGCGCCGAGTGGTTATGTAAATAAGACCTCATTGGTTTCATAGATCAAGTCATTTCCATGAATGCTTTAGGCAAATTATGATTTGAAGCAGTTGCACAATAAAAAAATAAAAAAAACATTTAAAAGTACATTTTCCCTGGGTGTCAGTTTCCTATGAATGCTAAAATATATTTCATTCCATATATCCTATGCTATATTTTCATTTTTGGTGCTGTGTAGAATAGAGACATAGATTTTCCACTGAAACTGTGCGGATACTCCCACTGGGCACACACTGGTTGAATCAACGTTCTTTCCACGTCATTTCGATTAAATTGAACCAACGTGGAATAGATGTTAAATTGACGTCTGTTCCCAGTGGGCTGGCTCTTCTAAGCCTGTCACTCCATTTGTAAATACATTTTTCTAAGAAGTCAACTCGGAAAATGGCTTCCAGTACATGAAGCCAAGGCTACTTAGTTTTGTCCTTAAAACTAATCTAGTGTAGGCTCTCCATTATTGTGTCTGTTCCAAACGTACTGATTGCCATCATAGAGGTGAGAGAGTTATGACACTGTCTCTAGGGCTGTGTTTGACTCTTAGTGTATGTATCTTCCCCAGTGTCCATCTTCCTCTCCTGGACCGCAGTGTTCCAGACTTCTCCAGCTTCAGTACTGTGGACGAGTGGCTGGATGCCATCAAGATGGGCCAGTACAAAGACAAATTTGCCAACGCTGACTTCACCAGCTTTGATGTGGTTTCCCAGATGACTATGGAGTAAGTACTGATCCCAGACCTGTGTTTCTAATAAGGATGATAAGGATGAGGTTGAAGCGAGGCAGGTGGGCTGTTCCTGGACAGTCTCATACCTTAAAATCTAGATGACTGCCAGGCTCAGTGTGATGAGGTGTGAATGACGGAGTCAGGCGCAGGAGGTAAAACACCGAAATCCAGAGTTTATTCAGTGTACATGAATAAAGCGCAGCAAGCGTCAAAACGAATCTAGCACAAGGGAAAAATCAATTTTAGCTACATTTTTGTCATTTAGCAAACACTCTTATCCAGAGCGACTTACAGTTAGTGAGTGCGTACATCATTTTTTAATTTTTCATACTGGCCCCCCGTGGGAATCGAACCCACAACCCTGGCGTTGCAAACACCATGCTCTGCCAACTGAGCTACATCCCTGCCGGCCATTCCCTCCCCTACCCTGAACACACAACACTATGTGTGGAGAAAAAAAGGCACAGCACACCAACATCCCTGCCGGCCATTCCCTCCCCTACCCTGGACCAATTGTGCACCGCCCCATGAGTCTCCCGGTCGCGGCCGGCTAAGACAGAGCCTGGATTCAAACCAGGATCTCTAGTGGCGCAGCTAGCACTGCGATGCAGTGCCTTAGACCACTGCGCCACTCGGGAGATTACATATATACACATACATATACATACAAGGAAAGAGTAGCTCAACCGAGGACAAGGGGGCAGAGGGAACACTTATACACAGACTAATGAGGGAATGAGTACCATGTGTGTGTGATTGACAAGACAAGACAAGACAAATGGAGTGATGATAAATGGAGAGGTAGTGGCTAGTAAGCCGGTGACGATGAACGCCGAAACCTGCCCGAGCAAGGAGGAGGGGCAGCCTCGGCTGAATTCGTAACACTCAGCCCCGGGCTCATCATAAATCTGTCTCTCACTGTATGTCATTAGGAGATAATAACAGTTCAGCACAACTGCTCTGAGCTAGAACAGAGTGTACAGACTCTGGCCATGTGGCTGCCAGGTTTCTTCTACAACAGTTAAATGAAATAATAGATATAGGAGAATGAACATGCATAGTGATGTTTAGGAATACATTCCTGCCTCAGTAGACTTAATAAAGACATAGACATCATCTATTAGCAGATAGAGACTATTCAAGGTCTGTTTAGTAAATAAGGTACACATTACTCTGCTTATTGTCTCCTGGGCGGCAGGTAGCTTAGTGGTTAAGAGCGTTGTGCCAGTAACCGAAAGGTCGCTGGTTCTAATCCCCTAGGTGAAAAACCTGTCGATGTGCCCTTGAGCAAGGCACTTAACCCTAATTGCTCCTGTAAGTCGCTCTGGATAAGTGCGTCTGCTAAATTGACCAATTTATTTATCTATATCTCTTAATATCCTCCTAAAGTCACATTGGAAATCTAAGCCACGTAAGTCTGTTTGGAGAAAAAAATATGTCCACCCACATCTCTAGTTACAATACTTAAACCAATACGACACATCAGTCCATCTCTGGTTACAATACTTAAACCAATACGACACATCAGTCCATAGGGTTAAGGTTAGGAAACACCGTTTTTTTGTTGTTGTTTTTTCTTGACAAAATGTTTAAAAAAGGTATAATCTTCGTAAATGATATCATCGGTGGAGTTATGTCACACATGCAGCTAACAAAAACATATGAAATGTCTGCTCTACCCAAAATTACAACCAAATAATTGCAGCATTACCGCAAAAATGAAAGAGGAAAGTGGAAGGGGGAAAATGTAAGGAACTTGTCTGTCGGCCTTGCATTAAAGAACATAATTGGTTAAAGAAAACCGTGATAAATAGCAAAGTATACCAGTTTCATTTAAGGACCAAAGGATTGACAGCCGTCCCATATAGATTGCAAAATAGTTGGGAAGAGATTTCTGACTTACCGAGCCCATGGCATAGTGTTTATGAACTGATAAGCAAAACGACGCGGTATTCAAAACCTCGAATTTTTCAATTTAAATTATTATATAAAATTATTGCTACCAATAGGATGTTATTTATATGGGGGATACAATCTTCCCAGCTCTGCAGATTTAGCTGCGAAGAGACAGCATCATTAGATCATTTGTTTTGGGACTGTCCATTTGTAGCTTGTTTTTGGACACAGGTCCAGGAATGGCTAAAGGATTGCAATATTTACCTGGAGCTAACCCTGCAGATAGCATTACTGGGTGATCTGAAAAGTCATAGTCAATCGATCAATAATATAATAATACTTTTAGCAAAAAATGTTGTTTTCAATTTACAATCTGTAGAAACAATGAGAATAGAAAGGTTTAGAACTTTTGTAAAACATCACAGTACAGTTGAAAAATATATGGCAAATAGAAATCCAATGTGGATGGTGTTAAGAGATAGATGGGTGGTGTTGAATGGAGTTGAAGGATGGGACTAATAACAACCAACAACAACAAGATAACTAATAATGTAAGCATACTGTGTCCATAATCAGTATATAGGTTATAGTTTGAGAGCTTTTGTGAAAGAGCACAGTTAGAACGATATGGCATATAGAAGCAAATCGGATGGACATCAAGAAAATGATCGGAGAGGTTGAGGGTAGAGGAAGTTCAGAAGTAAAAACAAACAAAATATAATTATTGTAAAATTGACTGTGTCCATAAAATGTATATAGTATATAAGCTGGGAGTAGAGGCCTAAGCATTGTTGTTGACTAGTTTACTCCAGTTAGGGAAGGGGTGGTGGGGTTGGAAAGTCATAAAGGAAATGTATATATATGTGTATATATGTATGTATATATGTATGTATGTATGTATGTATGTATGTATGTATGTGTATGTGTATATATATATATATATATATATATATATATATATATATATATATATATATATATATATATTTGTGAGAGAAAAAAAAAACATATGGGGGATTGGAAGTGATGCAGACAATTACATTGATGGAAGTTACAGTTACAATCTATCTGCAATATTAAAGCTGATCTATCTCCTAGTAAAGAAAAAAATAAAATAAAAAAGACATTACATTGTTTCCTGAATGGAAGAAGTTGTTCAACCAACAGAGCAGTCATGTCTGGGACGGAATTAGGAATTTGGCAGACTGGGGCCCAGAATTTAACCTTGATCTAACTTGTTGAGTTTACCTGGGCTTATGCAATGTGACTTGTGCCATTAAACCTGTTTTGTCTTCTGTGATGGCTTTCTCCTGACTCCTGTGGTTGTGTCTCCTGCCACAGTGACATCCTGAGCGTGGGTGTAACGTTAGCAGGCCACCAGAAGAAGATCCTGAACAGTGTGCAAATGATGCGTGCCTCCATGAACCAGATCCAGTCTGTAGAAGTTTGACCATCCAGAGTGGAGCAGAGGAGAGCAGAGCAGAGGAGAGGGGATTGGGATGCAGGGCTCTGGTTGCACGGATGGAGTGGATGTGTTTTTGCTTGAACCTGGCTTTCCTACCAGACTACCGTCCATCCCCGGTCCCCCCTTCCAATCCCTCTCCTGTCCTCCTCTATGCCCTCATCCAAAGTCCCCTCAACCTTCGGGATCAGCTTTGGAAGGTTGTGGCCAGCATGTCTAAATGACCAGACGTCAATCAACGTGGCTCACAACCGTCCATCTTGGAACCAGGATCATGAGAGGTTACTGACCAGAGACACATTTTTACTTCCATCTTCCACCCATGTTTTTGTTATTTTTTACGTTGAACTTTTTTGTTTGTTTTAAGAATTTAGTAAAGAATTTAGTAAATAAAAAAAAGTTGGGAAAATTCATGGAGTCAATACAAGTATAGATGGTATACAATTGTAAGCTAGGTGAACTGACTAGAAAGGCTACCCTTTAAAAAGGGCCACAGAGAAGAAGACGATGATGAAAACTGGGTGATTTAAGACCAACACTCTCAAAATTAATCTGAAATATTCTATGTAAACTAGGTGAACTGACTTCAGAAAATAGACTTAACTCTTTGCTGCCTTCCCGAAGGCAAACAACAGAAGAGTCTGAGGAACTTGATCTATTCCCCTATCATTGATTTGGGACATAAAATAGGTGTGAGCACAATGAAATGGACCTCTTTTGGCAGAAACTACTGCCATGAACAAATTTCCGACATTCAGTTATCTACCAATTCAAAGCAACAGTAAAAATAATTACAACAAAAATACATTTTCTCATATCAAGTCATTTCGTTTTCTGTGTGAAAATTGTGATGAAGACTTTCTCTCACCATGCTTCCTTTCACTGTGGGAAAATTTATATTTTTTCAATATAAACATAACCTGCCAAATGGAACATCCTCCCTATGTACCTCAGATGATGTCATGATCCTGTACATATCAGATGCACTTGACATTGGGACTGTGATGTGATCACTATGAGCCTGACATAGTTACTAATACCTGGAAGTGATGGATTTACATTTTTCTTAAGGTGACTATAGGGAGTTTTTAATTTGTTGTTATTGTGATTCGATTTTTTTTGCTAAATGGTAGTTGTGGATTTTGAAGAATCAGTGTCATAAACAGCAAACATACAGTACTTCCTCCATGGATGTATAGAAAAAAAGAACATCATATGGGTGTTTTCCCTATACTGTTTACATGGGGAAGGAGTGCACATATGTTTTGGTCCTCACATTATCTTGAGGTTTCCCCGTGTTTTACAGCTTCCCCACGTGCATGTGTGTTTGTTTGTGTGTGTGTGTGTGTGTGTGTGTGTTTGTTTGTGTGTGTGTGCGTGTGGCTAAATGTGCCTTGTGGCACAAAGCAACGGCTCCCAAAGCTGAGGGGCTAGTGTTTGATAGCATGCTGAGTTAATTATTGATTTCACAGAGCTTTGATTTGTTACACTTTACAAAATATAATGCGCTTACATTATATTTAGCATTTTTCTTCCAGATTGTATTCTTTTTTAAATAATTTTATATTGAAGTGTTAGGGTTTTAACACCACTGATGGTTATCTCACGTTGGTATGGTCACGGACAAATATTTTCACAACAGGGCAGTAACATTAGCATGGAATAGTGGATTATTTTACGCATATTATTATTATTATTATTATTATTATTATTATTATTATTGTACATCATGGATGATTGGGAGCACTTGTGACAGCTTTTCCAAGTAGTCTCTTGGAAGGGTATGTGAACCCAGATCATACTGGACAATGGACTTCAAACCCGATGACTCTCTGGATCTTCCATGCTCTTTTGGAATTTTAGGAAATGATTATTATGTTGGTGCACACAAATTGTAGATAACTGGAGTCCTTGAGACTTCTATTTTCATTTTATAGATACATATTGCATTTACTGTAAGGCTTCTGTGAGAAACTGCCTGATGAACGGAGAGCTGTCTGTCATTGTCTTTGTTGTTGTGGCCGATGTGTTGTTTGAGGTGTTAGGGAGCCTGATGGGTCTGTGCTAGTCAAAACCCATGGATTCCCACAGAGATGGTAAAACACAGAGTTTACAAACTAAGGCAAACGATCAGTACTGCAGAGCTCCTAACGGGCAGATCCACTTAGACAGGCCCAGTACTCGATACAGACTGAGGGGCCAGACATGGAGCTCCAGCTGGTCAGACATGTCCATACCTAGTGGGGGTCCACAGCCTGATCACAGCCCCACTGGCCAGACAGTGGTTCCCTCCATCTCTCCTCAGTGCTAAACACATGCCTCAGATCTACCACTCTTCTCCTCCCACTGTTCTCTGTTTTCTCAGATCCATTGCTTTGTGACTCTGCATGTTGTCATGTTGACAGACCAGGTCTGTTTAAAAAACAGACTGAATTTATGTAGATAACACACAACCTGTGGGCCCCGTATTGGTTTCACAGCAGGTGGCTATGTAAGCAGAGGTTCTTCCACAAAAGGTCATCCTTCCATATACATTATCAGGTGTTCGCTGTCCATTTTGAGGCACTTTGCTGTCTGAGCAGAACAGGAGAGGTGTCCTATATAGGCCTTAGCATTAGACCCCTAAACACAGAATGAGTGAAATCCCGCCTTTGCCCTCGTCAGTTAGTCCCCATCTCATACCACCCACTAACCCACATGGCCATCCAGAGTCTTAATAAACGTGGGCAGGAGCATTGAGGTTTTGATCCAGCTTCTGTAACATCATCCTCCCTTTAGTTTTCTGTTGACAGTCCCGTGCGTCACCATGCATATTCCAGTGCAGACTCCATGACAGATGAAACAGCAGGAAGTGCATCACTCTCACTATTAGTTACTGGCCAGAGTAAAAGGGGAAGCGATTCTGTGACCCAACTGTCACTGATGCCACCATGCAGTTTCCTTTCAAAAAGAGCTCAAAAAGAACTTTCTTCCTTTCCATTGCACAACACTTTAATATTTAAGGGCACCTCAGTGATATTCAGTAAAGCCCAGGCAGCCTGAGTCAGTCTTCCCAAGATATAGACAGATATCCCACTGTCAGAGCAAGCAGTGGCAATTTCTGTTCAAGAAAGCAGGCCCAGCAGCACAGCAGTAGAATTTGTGCTGAAGACGTGATAGTCATAGGAAGGTGATTAAGGTGATTATCAAGTGATTAAAAGAGCAGTGTGTAAACAAAGTGTGCTTCCACATGTGACGTTCAATCAAAATACAGTACTAGGAAATGTTGTTATGATGAGATGAACTTAAACATTCAGTAGTGGTGGACTCGTATTTAGAGTGATAGGAACATAAATATAGGTATTAAGAAAGTGGTTTTCTTTTATTGAATTACTCTTGGAAGGGTAGGTTTGGTGTGTTACTTCTGTTCAGAGAAGCTAGGTTCATAAGGAGTTGAGTCAACACGTGTTTATTGGTTGCACAGTGTGGGACCATTGAGACTGCTGAAAGCACTGTGTAAAGTATTTATTTATTCTGCCTCTGAACCTAATGGCACAAAGAAACCCTGTTTATATACCGATAGTTCATCAAGAGCTATCCTTTGCTATTGGCCGCATAAAAAGCTGTCATCCCTCTTTCTTTTATTTTGAAGACATTTGTAGCATCCTTTTAAGAACAGGACAGCTCAGTGGTACTGTTTCATAGCCCAGACCTTCTGATAAAACCCCTTGGCACAGAGTGCCTGTTGTAATGGACCTATAGTAAGTGATTGATCAATCTGCTGTGATTATGATGGGTTTAGTTCAGAATAAATTATGCTCACATTGAGAGGTTTAGACTTTGCTGTGTGAATCCATGATGGTCATTATGCCACAATATCTCATGTGATGTCTCACTCGATAGTTATCTCTGGTGTACAATTAAAGTTTTTAAAGTACCACCCTAAGTACTGTAAATGGGTTACTTTACACATAGATGGCATCAAGGACATTTTTGCATTGGTGAGATTTTGCAGCTCGTTGAAGATGAGTATAAGCTAAAATATAATTAAAACCGCACATATAGCTTTTTGTTGAATTATGGTGTTTTTTTTCTCCCCCAAGGCCACTGAAATAACTGGTATTTTAAAGACAGTAGATTTACACTTCTTCAAACCACTTACCGATGTTTCTGTTTCCATTTTTCATGAGTAGGAAAATGTCTCAAACGTCTGCTTCATTTATGTAAAAAAAAAAAGACTAAATATATACTGTAGTTGTAACATTTTTACTGTGTGCTTCACAAACATTTGGCTACCATCATTGCATATGATTTAACAGTGCAGGGCATCTCCTTCGTTCTCTCCTTTTTCAATGGCCAGGCTCATGAGACAGATGGAGGAATGATGTCTAAGGTGCATAATAATGTTTTAACAGCATTGAGACCAGAATACATATGTTTGTTACAGTAAGGCTCTTTGTTTGGAATTTCAGATAACTTGCTAGTATTACAGAACTCTGTTTTGTACATCTAAAACTCTTGCCTTTGTTTCAATGGCTTGTATCTGCAGATACTGTTGATGTTTCACTGTCAATGTCATGATAAGTAATACATAACAATCCCCCCTCTTTTATTTATGAATCAAAACAAAACCAATGTATCTGAGATGTTGATTAAATGCACTTTGGACGCAAAGAACATTTTCCCTGCTGTGTGCCAATTTTTGAAGGATGGACGGAAACCGTTATGTCTCAGTGTTAGAATTACATGACATTGTGCATAAACACAAGCTGTGCCGGCTCGTACTCGTTGGTCTGTGTTTGTGCACCATCCAAATATGGCCCGAGCAGCAGTCTGCCTGCCCGCCTGTCTTTGTGGCAGTCAGTTCAGCGTGTATAGAAAATGGCTCCTGTGGATAACTCTTTTACGTAAAGCGTCAGAGCTCCCTCTGCTGACACTGTGGCTAATAGCAGTCTAGTTGTGACAGATTTCCTTATGTTCCTTGCATTGTCTTATCCCCCCTCTTCCCC